TACCGAAGGTACCATTTTCACTCTTGAACTGGTTATAGTTAGTTACCTGTAGGTGTAACTTTATACCGAAATTACAAAACAGCTCTTGGATATCCATTTCAGATCACTCCACACTATTAATAACACAAATTCGCATACATGATAGCGAATCCATTAGCTGTGAAACATTGTGATATAATATAGAATCTCAGAAGAAAAAATGATGTTCCCTAATGTGGTACAGTGGTTAGGACTCTCGCTGACCATGCACATGGTCCGGGGTTCGATCCCCTGCCGACGCACACCCGATATCTATGGTCGGCCTGTAAAATTTGGGCTACCGATATCCATGCTGAAAATTCCATACTTGTAATGAAAATACAGTGTGGCATCAAGCTGTAATCACAATTAAAAAAATTTTTTTAAATACTTCCATCATGTTGACGAGTGGTCAAAAATGCTATAGCAAGTTGAAGTAGGAATCCCGGTGGGTTGGTTGCTAAAACCTAATGTTATATTTTGTATGCACTATAGTGAATTACAATGTATGACCAAGTAGTTTACTAATCAGACCTCACACTTTTCAACAGACTTCCAACTTCAACTTTTAGCCCTGAATGGCTACACTGAAGAAGACAAATGAAGACGAATTCGCATACACCATTCTGTTTATGATAGTCATGAACCAGACTTTATTCACCAGATCATTTAAAGTCAATAATCTCACAGAAGTGGTCTTAAACATGGTTTTGTAATGGAACTTCAAAGTGTAGACTAGTCCGTAGTACCCGGAAATTCTATTAGAAGAAGTTCACTTTAAATGTCTTTGTGGATATCTGTTTATCTAATTATTTAAGTCTAAACTAATTTTGTCCACAATAACAAAGAAGAAATAAATGAATTTTACGTCTTGACCTAGTGGTAACACGATGTTAACCTTGAGGCATTATCGTATTGTCCATACTAAGAATAGATATGTCAGCAGAGACTGGACTAACAAAATCGATCAACGGGAGAATCGGTATAACTTAAACGCTTTTGAGTTCGAAACTATGGGGGCTGGGTTCAAGTCTGAGTGGGAATACCATCACTTATTAGGGATGTAGATGCATACGGATGACGAGTCCTAGATAGTACGAAATACACGTCCTGGATTCCACTGCTAACTGTCACCAACTAAGTATAAGAAACTGATATATTAGTTTTGACTGCATGGTATATTTAAGCATATTCTACATTAGTCTCCTGTATTCTTTACCAATAAAAAGTTTATTCATGTTTGGTAAAATTATTTGTTAACAATGCATCAGGCAGTTTTAACATCAAGAAGTCAGCATGTTTGCTGTGTGGCCCTTCTCAAAAACACCAATATTAAATAAGTAAAAGTTCTTTTTTCTTTGTATTGATTAGAAAACTCAAAATGGTATCAGTTTTCCAAAAGGAAACTTTCGTCAAATTTACCAAATGATGGATGATATCTGACAAGTTCGAAGAATTTGTTTGCTTACTGAGTTACAAAAAATACCTGATAGTCATTGCTACGCAATTCTCAGAGATATAGATCTATGTTACACAGCTTCAAGACAGAAGTCCAGCTATAAATCCGGTTTAGCATGACCAACTTTTCGAAGGATTGGTGAATCATACAAATTAGACATCAGATGGTCTTTCTAGACCTAATCTCTGGTCGATAACGAAAAATTGAATCCTATCTTTCAAGTCTCCAGAAGATTACCTAGTCACTTAGTAAATGTGTCTTCATTTTCATTGAGTGAGACAAATACTAACTTAAGTAGTATGCATTGTTAAGTAGAAAGTGTCCTTTTATTTATGCATACATATATCCATACATAAAGCGTATTTCAATAAAAACACGTGTCGCACCCTATTGATTACATGCAGCTCAACAAATAGTGCATATATTCATAAACACATTGTTGCCACTGTCTCTAACGTGGAAACAAGTATTAATTATCAGACAGACGAAAAACTGATTGTGTCATATTTCTGGAATACTCTATCTACCAGAAACTATGGCCAATATATTCTGATTCATCCTACTAGAATGAAGGCATGAGTCAATTTTCTGTAAACATTAGCTTGCTTTTCGTTTGCACATGTGTTTGAAGGCTAGTCATCTTGTAGTAATTATTTTTCGACATAGTTTTACCCAAAGGTAAGCCTTAAAATCCACTCCGCATACAGAATGTTCAAATAATTTCTTGGAATGATATTCTGTCATGTTGGTTAATAGTCTGACTTTAAGTTGTAAAGACTAAAAATCAAGTACTTCGGTCTGAAAGCGGTAAAGCAAACCAACGCTAACAGATTTTCTGCGAGCGACTCACAGTCCAAAATTATATTCCAATAATATCAGAAAGACAACTTGATGTGACTGGATCTGTGGTAATATTCAATAATAGTAGCTTATTTTCGGAGTTTGACCACGGATTGATATCAGTTAGAGAACCACTGAAAACCAGGGAGTACTGGATAGCTGTTTCATCCCAGTTTAGGAATCATCGACAGTAAGCACCCACTGAGGTTCGAACCCAGGGCCTCTCGGTTTCAAGGCATGCTCGTAAACCATCCAGCCACTGGGACCCGATTCAATGACCAGCCCATGAATTCTAACTTCTACCAATTCGTGATTTTAGCGCGACCACCAACCAATGTCATCGGCGGGAAATTTATCCTCACTCCTGACTGGATGCTCCTCACTGGTCACGACTTGTCACTAGAACTCCAGGAAACTCCGTCCTGTAGCAAGTCACTAGCGAGCATCAGATTAGTTTTCAAGAGTTGATTTGTAAGGATTTGATTTGTTTTTCGAGCTAGACCATGGTGCGTACTGATGATGAGTCCCAAACTAGGATGAAACAGTTATGCAGTATTCCCTGGTTTTCAATTGTACTTTAACTGATATCAATCGGTGTTATCAACTCTTGAAAATAGTGGCTTATGTCAAAAATAAAATCTACCTGAACAATGCCGTTTGGCAGCTATACACTCCAAAACGATCTCAGGTACAAAACACGAACTGTACCACAAAACTAGTTGCTAGAACACAATTATGAATTACCAGAGAATCAATAAGAATATTCCCAGCAAGGTGGAATCAAAACTGTGTCTGTAAGAATTAAGCAGAATAAACACATTTCACGCAGACAGTCCAAGGTCATGCAGTCACTTCACAGTGTCGCCATGACTTTACTTAAAGAAAATCGCAGTCGTAAAACAACAAGTTAGTATCAATCACATCACATAACAAGAAAGAAAAGCATGAAAAATAGTGATCAACCAAAAACAAAGACGAATAATAATAAGGATTAAGTCAAAAAGAGATATGCAAACTTTAGAACAGTGACATACATGTTAGGAAAAATTGGCGGAAATTACGAAATTAGTTGAAATGTTCAAATAAGTATCAATATTATAAATAGATTAACCATAGAGGGATTTTCAGGTTAGTTATTGTGCTACACTTATATAACAAAACTTCGAACTTGTCTAGAAGACTACCTACAGGCTCTGAATTAGTCAGTGTCAGGCAGCTTGGTGGTAAAACGACGAACAGTTACATATCTCATTTGCAATAGTAGTTGGAAGGGAAATCTCACTTAGCAGAATGTGATTGATACTATGTTAGAAACTTGGTTCCCCATAATATTTGATGAGGCGGTAAACTGACACTGCTGAGATTCGAATTTTGGTTTGTTTTTAACTGTTATTTTGAATCACACGCATAATGAATGATCAGTTTATCAATCAATGTCATCTTAAATAGTAGGAAAAAATATTTATGACTGCAAAACCTCTAGTTTTGTAAAGAATCAGGACTCGAGAAATTTAAATCGAAATGCCAAGATTCATAGATAATAAGAATCACCTCATAAACTGACCAGATAAACGTCGAATTTATCTGCGATTAGACTGTTCTGTTGTGACTTTTACCATGTTTTATCACAAGTAATAAGAGTTATGTAAACGTATTAGTGAAAAATATCAAAGTAAACTGTTGTTACTAACAGATTTGTTATTGAATTTTGGTTTCCACTTTGGCGGCATTTTTAACTGTTGCACTTTTAACAAATACACTTCCACTTACACAACTTGGTGTTACCGCTGTTCATGCCTAAATAGTTTAAGACGCCACTTCACAGTCTTGTTACTGGCGTTATTTTCATGATGCATTTATGACTGCCATTTATGATATCAGGTAGACCACATATCGTGATCTAAGTAATCTGGTGTCCAAAGTAAACTGTGTAAATTGCAAACAACGAATTAATTTGCAACCTGTCAATTTGATTTGCTGTGTTACCAGTTCTCTCAAGTAGCTAACCAGAAATCGGTTGGTTTGAACTGATTCGGCTGTCTGATTTGAGTCAAACCGAGTAAACCGCTGATGAGGTCAACGGTAAATGAGCGAAACAGCTACCCGGTGTTTAGATCACCTAGAACTGACTGCCAGGCACATCTGGCTGATATGAGTGGTATACAACTACTCATCTCTATCAATCAGTAGTATATAGCTTTTAAATTATTTTTTATCAGTAAGATGTGTAATTTCTATCTATCTTGTTTCTCTCTCTCTTAAATTCTCTTCCCATTAGATGATTATTTAATGGATGATGTTTATTGTAAAGGGAGTGAGTCCCACTTGAATGCATGTGTTTATTGGACGGAACATGATTGTTTGAAGCGTGAAGAGGCTGGTGTTATCTGTCTTAACCCTGAACCGATAAAATGGCAATACAATGTTAGAAATCCACTAATTGAAAAGTTATCACCTACTGAAGTGAAAAGAATGCGAAAGGTAAATAGTAAGCAGTCTACATTTTCACCTCTTCTTTACACTTGATAAAAATTTTGAATTTCATATCCGCCACAAACTAATAGGGCAATTTCCAAGATATTTACTGCTGTTCAAGTTTTTTAAACAAAAATTCAAATTAGGAGAACACCTAAAGCTTACAACTGCCTTATTAAAAGTTGCAGTTATATACTAGGAAAGAAATATCTTGAAACTTATTGGAATTTTTCTATTTGCAAACACAGTCCGATCCTTCAGCTGGTCAGCTGCAATCTGAATATGTTAGATGTCGGGTGATGCAAGCTAAAGTCACAGGAATTATATAGTCCTCTTAAAACTGCACACGCATCTTTCCAATGAGTACGTGGAAGAACTTAACTTAGATTCAAGCAAGGCTTTCTACTAACGAATTCCTCTTAGCTTGCAGTGTAGTAAATTTAAGTATAACTAAGCGATTTTATATTTCCAATTCGCCTCAAACAACCAGCGCTCTGTGTTCAAAAGAAACAAGTCCAGCCCCTACTACTGCCCTGGCCCTCAGTAGAGACTATAAACTCATGAATTTGTACCATTACCTTTCCTAATTCTTCTGACATTCAGTTTATTTGATGTTGATGCTGTTCAGCTTTAATCTATCAATATTATTGATTTGATGTTATTTAAACACTAATGTCGTTCATAAGACTAATTCATTCATTCATTCATTATAATGTATATATAATTGTAGAATCTGATGATGAATTTATCGAAAAGAGTACTCTTTGTTCCGTGTCTATTCTTTTGAAAATTTTAATGGGCATTTTTAATCAATTAGAATATGAAACTCTCTGACGTTAAATTCATAATCTCAACCATCAAATTATTGTTCAGCTTAAATGACTCGATCGGGTATCGGAATGAATAATTGTTCAGAATGCATCTTTTCAAAATATAATTATTATTCCCTTGGGTTCCAAGTGGAACATAGGGCTTCTACAGTACACCTCTATTTCATCCTGTTTTCTGCAGTCCTTTTTACCTGGCTCAACGGTTGTCTATAGCTTTTATTTCTTCCTCACACGATCTCTTTCATATCACCCCCGGACAAACCATCATCCCATCGTTTCCCGCTCAGGTTCTACTCGAGGGATTTTCGTATGGCCTATCCTTTGTGGCCACCTAACCGTCAGTATTGAGGCACAGAAGGCATCTGATGATGAAAGTATGAAGCAGACTGTTGGAAATGCTTTTCGTGGCTCACATGCCAATTCTCTGAACTTTATCAAACTACTCAACTGAAATTAGTGTTGAAAATCTCAGTCTCGTTCCCAATGCTGAGTGCAGCAGATTTCTGTACTGATTTTAAAGTAATAAATGTCAGTCTTGCTTTTCCAGTCCTGCATTTTTAAGTTAATATTAAAAATTCTAAAAATAAGAAATTCAGTTAACAATAAATCCAGTAATAATGAACTCCAAAGGGATAAGCGAACAATTAGTTATACAAGAGTTAAAGTTAGTGAATAATCATGCAATCTCAAGGTCAATGTTTGACATTCAAAAGAACATTAGGTAAAATGTCTGTAATCAGTTCAATAAGAAGTTAAGTATATTCTATTGCATAAATTAACTAAATGACTACTGGTTCTTTTTTTAACTGCATATCTATTTCAAGGGATATCTCGTAACTAGTGTAATGTTGAATGCTAATGTATGCATGAACTTTGTGATAACAGACTTTTGAAACCACCTTTGGTATTTACTCAGCTCTTCAGAAATGAAATAAACAGTAAAACAAAAAAGGTGTTTTTTTTCAATTTCAGCTGTATAGAATAAAACTCGATTGTATTAGTATGTATTTACAATGAATGACCTTCATTACTTCTGAGTTACTTAAGAAGAAAAGACTTCACATTCCACGGATAATCATGTGACTGTTATGGAGAACTCAGAGTATGTTCAATGACCAAGGAGGTTTTCTTGTACTTCTAGTAGCTGAATTTGATCTGAACATTATTTAACGCCATAATAATAGTAATTTATACACACTTAATATTGGAAAGATTCAAATGATTGGCTTCTGAACGATTTATGCAGCAAGTATTACTGAGTACCAGCATTTGCATTATATCACAAAACGGCTAAACTCTACAATAAACTATAATCTTTCTAATAGATAGTAAAGGGTCGCTTCATGCCTCTACACTGTATCTCCTTTGGAAATACATACACAATGCTTAAAAGCTTTCTATTAGGAAAAAACAACTACTTAGTTATGAGTCTTTAGCTAGAACATCTGTAGTATGGCACTTATTCCTTAGACTTCTTCAAATTTACATCGATATCAAGCAGTCACATGCAAATGAGAAAGCGTATTAAGATCGATCAAGTGAATTTTTCATCTTTCAAACTGACCTAGTGCTAAACGCTAATATCCCAGTTTTAAAGTATTTCGGGATGTAGGGATTTGTCTTATCCGAAGATTGATTTCTTCACTAATTGAAATCAGCTAGAGAATCACTGAGAACCAGGGAGCACCATGTAGCTATTTCGTCTGAGTATAAAATACTTCAACAGTGTGTACCCAAAGTCAGGTTATAGAGAAAACTCATCAGCCATTTAGCCACCGGGTTGGAGTTCAGTGACTCGTGATTTTTAATTTCTGTCAATTCGCCACTTCCATCCAATGTCAGTAAAGAACCAGCAGGCTGAAGATACAACCTAAAAGTTATGGGTTCGATTGTTGGTGTACTACCGAAGAATCCCAAATGCAGATGAAACAAGTGCCTGTTCCCTGATTTGTAATGGCTCTCTAGATGATGTCTGTTCGTGATAAAGTCTACTTTGAAACCACCAGTTTAAATGTTATCATTTATATCCACTTTTTTCCAAGTTATTTAAAATAATTAGGAATTAAAATAAGATGGATAACTTATATAAACAATAAACATATTTTCAGAATATTAAACTGAATACTTAAAAAGTGCATTTGTCGACTAACAGAAAACCAACACATGCAAAGATTCCTATGAAATAATAATTTTAATAATGACTTACAGATAACGGAGTATAAAATTTCAAAAAATAAACTGACAGAAATTAGTCGTATTCAAACAAGATGAAGTAAATGGGGTAAATTTGGCTAATGTAAACACTTTCTTTCAAATATTTCGCTTATTTCAATGTACAAATATATTACGTACATATATACCTAATGAAATTCATTGCTAACTCAAGAGTAATTGTTTATAATCTTGCATCAGAGCATACTTTCCTTCCACCAGAAATACATGCAGACATGGGTGAATAAGACGCAAAGATCTTACTTTTTTTAAGCATTAGTTCTACCCTTCAGTTCTTGTTTTACTTCATTGTGTAAACCATTTTGTGATACTACTTATGTATGTATATAGGGATCAGAAATGCTCCCCTTTATTCGGAAAAGCTTTTGCTTAAGAGAGAGAGAGAATTCAATATATAAACAATCTTGCAGGCACCAGTCTTTGTGGCGTGTGTGTGTGTGAGTGTATAATAGAAGTGTTGATGACTTATCTGAAAAGGAAGCCAACTTATTTCAGCTTAAGCGTCAATCAACTTAGATAGTATAAGATAAATTATAAAATCAAATATAAGATTGTTACTTTTACTTTTTAAAACTTTTAAAAGTGTACAGAAGATCCCAATGTAAAAATTTCTCACTTACTGTTGTTTACAGATATCCCATATTAGTTTGTTTATTAGATGTATCACACAGTCAGAGAAACAGTATTATTTACTGGATGACAAGGTTTCGAACACAATTAATTGCTCATAATCATATCAATTGTAATCACACGACTTCGAAACTTGAGTTTTATAGTTTTCTTTGTTCTCTCCTATTTGTCGTAGGGGTAGTAGAATTTTCCAGATATCTGGGACAGGTGTTGAATCATTCCTATTACATGTGTTTGCAGTTGATTCGATAAACAAAGCTTCTGTTATCAATCTCTCTCTCCACCCTGTGACATTAGATTTTAAAACTGTCATCCATATGGTTGTGTGTAACTGCATGTAGTGCTATAGCTGAACTATTCTCTAGATTTCTTATCTTATTTGTAGGCTCCACAGGATCCTTTAACCGACAAAGCTTGTTTCTAATTGAGTTTGTGGGTTTGAATACCAGCCATTTTTATTCCTGCCTTGTTAAGAATTCTGCGTAAGGTTTCCGAGGTTCCTTCCTTGTATGGAATTACTACTGATGATTTAGATTCCTTATGGTATTAAAACTTATTGTATAAAACTCAAGTTTAGAAGTCGTGTGATTACAATTGATATGATTATGAACAATAAATTTTGTTCGGAACGTCATCCAGTAAATAATACTGTTTCACTGTGTGATACACATAATAAACAAACTAATATGGAATTACTTACTACCACAGTGCCCAAGTTTTACACATATATTAAGTTTACAGATATCACTCAAAACTAGAAAATGCTGAACTATATATTTGAATTCATTTTAAGACTTGTAAATAGTACAAATCAGTCGATTTTATTTGGAGTGACACCCAAAAAGGCATTTCAGCCATACAATGTAAATTTCATTCAACTAAACGATTAAAAGATAACTGTAACACATAAATAACTAACGAAGTTACAAAAGTGTCCCTCTGACGTCACAAATATCAAAAGGTTAATGAATACAGTAAAAGCGAATGAGACTGACGTAAAGCTTTGAACTCAGTTTTCATCTTTTTGACGCTCATTAGGGATTGTAGTAGGCATACATTGGTCTGACAAGAAAACTCTGGAAGATGTGGACTTCATGGGTGATTTATAAATAATGCCACACAGAAGCTATCAGAAGAGGTATGAAGTGAAAACAGGACTTAAAGTGAACATAGAGAAACCAAAGGTGATGAAGCACTAATCAACATCAGCGGGAGAAATCTAAGAGAAATTCATCTGCTTCAGTTGTCTAGGGAGCATCGTTTCATCTACAGGCGTCACAGATGAGGATGTCAGAGGGAGGATCAGAAAAGCAA